AAGAATAAGGGAACTTTAGAGACCTCAGGAAAGCAAAATGAATAAGCAACAAATGAATACTGTGTCTGGAATATAAGTTTCCGATCAACTTATATCAGTATAATACTGATACCATCACGGGCATAAGAAGATGACAAGGCATGTATAGAGAAGAAAGAGAGAAATGAAATGTCAGGCTTCTATTTTGTTCCCAACAGGCTTGTGCCAAACACCATCTGGCTGAGTCTAGGTGATGGGAGAGGCAGGAGGACACGTGGATTAAATTCTGTGATCACAGGGGAGAAATTCTACCCTGAGGCTGAGCCAACTGCCTTTTCTGACTCGACCACCTGGGCATGGGCTGCTCAAGTGCAGAGAAGAGGAGGCAGGTGGATCTGCAGCTGGAAGCCCAACTCACCCCACCCCAGCTGCTTTGCATGTCCCTCCCAACCGCCCTGCTGTCCAAAACCCATATCAATGCCTGGGTCAGAGCCCTAGGGAGAATTGGTCTTAGTTAAGATCCAGACTGAACCATGGCAGCCCTAGCTCAGCTCCTCTGCCTCCTGTTCCTCTGGCTCCCAGGTGAGGGGAACACGGGGTGGTTCTGTATGTCAGTGAAAACTCTCTTAATGTTATTGGGTTCTGTGACCTGCCACCTCTGCTCAGCAAACCCAGCAATTAAAGCTCAATGTAGATCAATTGTCTTTGCTCTGCTGTGAAGACAACGGGTATGATCTAGATTGCAAGGCTGACTTTTCTGTTTTATTTCCTATCTCAGATACCACTGGAGAAGTTGTGATGACGCAGTCTCCAGCCTCCCTGTCTTTGTCTCCAGGGGAAAAAGCCACCCTCACCTGCAGGGCCAGTCAGGGTATTAGCAGCTACTTAGCCTGGTACCAGCAGAAACCTGGGCAGGCTCCCAAGCTCCTCATCTATGGTGCATCCACCAGGGCCACCGGCATCCCATCCAGATTCAGTGGCAGTGGGTCTGGGACAGACTTTACTCTCACCATCAACAGCCTGGAGCCTGAAGATTTTGCAGTTTATCACTGTCAACAATATAGTAGTGGGTATCTCACAGTGATTCACCATGAAACAAAAACCTCCATGAGACCATTGA